CACAGCTGCTGGTGGGTTTGAACTGTCAGCCTTTTGGTTATCAGGCCAGTGGTGAATGGTTGCACCCCCAGGGCTTCTAGGAAAAGGGTGTGTGTGTAAAGTTTGTGTCTTCGTCTTCTTCTCCCTCCCTCCCTCCTTTCCCTAATGCCTGTTCTCACACCCTTCTCTTCCTTCCTCCCCAGTTCTCTCTTTCTGTTCCCCCCCATGCCCTGTGTTTCTCCCTCCTCACTCCATTCTTCTCTGCTTGTACCCTTCCAGATTTACTGTATCACCATCAGCATCTGTGGTCCTGGTACTTTGCAGACTAAGATCAACTCGAGACAGATCTTGTAAGTTTCAAAGAACTTACAACCTAACAGAAGCTGGAAGACATTTACAGAAATTGCTTATGATGAGTGATTGGTTTGAGGGAGCGTTGGCATGTTCATGGGGACAGAAAACTGGGTCCTTCTCAGTACCCAGGTGTGCAGTAGGGGATGGTAGCTGTAGCCTACCATATCCAGGTGTCCTTAGCTGTTGTCCCACAGGATAGAAATTTAGCTCATTCACTGGCTTCAATCCATGTTACATCCTCGCTTCGCCACTGGTGGGTGACCAGTGCCAGAAGAGTTCAGTGGGGGTATCCGAGGCATCGCACCACTTGTGGGGAGTTTGAGAGACCACTGACCACCAGTGTCTGTAGACCAAGGACAGGAGAACCAGTGAGCTGTGTGATCAGTGTGTAATCAGTCCCCAGAGAGTTCTGAAACTCCACACTGGGGACACATCTTCTCCACTAAGCGCGTCTTCAGAATGCCTGAGGCACCTCAGACAATGGAGACCGGCTTTTAATTGCAGTGTCAAAAAGTACATTTCAGGAAATTTCAAAAGGTGGAGCATCTGATGCAAAGTTTACCATGATTTCAGTCATTTCCACGTGTATCCCAGGCTTTAACAAATGGCGCCTCTCTGTGCCTGACTTCTCTAATGCTCCTGTTAACAGAAATACCCAGTGGATTGAACAGAAAGGCAAGCCTCTCTCATAGTGTAGGAGGCTCAAAGGCAACAAACATTCAAGACTTGCTCTCTCTACCAGCTCTGGGGAAGGGCCCTAGTCTCCTTTTCACATCTGAAGGGACAGCATCCATTGGACATTTACAGTCGTCTTTTGGGTCTAGAGATTCTGAGCACAGGGGCCCCAGGTCCAAAGGCCATGCTGTGCTCACAGTAGGTCTTTCTTGGTAGCCATAGGTCCCCTTCTCTGCTCATCTCACCCTCCTTCTCTCTCTTGTATGCAAAAAGGTGATGCCAGCCACACCCAGGAAACCTCCCCTGCCAGCAGATCAGGGCTGTGAACTGAGTCAGAGTGTTGTTTCTCACCCTGATCCCTTACAGCTGATGGGCGGATCCCATGGGCAATGATGACCTCATCACAGAACTTCCTAACGCCTGAGTCCTGTGGCCTAGCCAAGTGACCCCTTGATTTTAGGGGTACATTGCAGTCCGTGACACTTACATTGGGGAATTGTCTTGAAAGCGCTCAGAAGCGTTTTTTTCTTTTTTACCCTGCCTCAGGTTATTTGTACAAACAGCTCAGGAGGACACCAGTTCCATGCAGGTGGCAGCCCAAAGGGTCACGCCAGTCCCCCTGTCCTCAGATGGAGAACTCTCAGCCATCTTTGTGGGAGCCTGGGCACCTTTGGGAGCCTGAGGTGAGGCCTTAACTGGAGCTTTAGTTGAGGCCTGGTTGAAGCTTCAGCCTTAGTTTGAGCACTAGCCTTGGACTCAGAACCTTGCCAATGTTTCCCCCAGCACGCTTCCCCTGCTTGGGATGGGCAGTGTAGACCAGTTGACTGAGCTTGCGGTGAACGCCCCTTGGAATCTTAGGCTTGACCTCCTTGGGCTTTACGAGAGCCTTGATAGCCTCGGCATGCACGTCCATGGCTTTGGCGTTGTTGACCTGCATCTTCTTCAGGCCCTTCTTGTGCTTCTTGGCAAAGCGCATGTTCCACAGAAACTTGGGGTCCACCCCCTTGAGAGACTCATTTGTGATCAGGGTTTCTTGACACCATTTCTGGGCCATTTTTAGGACTGGTTGTACGTGGTTCTTGGACATGGCTGTGTCTGCACTGATGCCCGCAGCTCCCAGCACGCCCAGAAGTTAGTTATCTTTTATTTATAGCATTTTGTTTCCCCGTTACTGTTTTATGTGAAAATATCAATGAGTTTCAATGCTTTCTTGCTTCATTATTCACAGTGTAACGTAAAATTTAAAGGCGTTAAGCTACTAACTGGAAAGTAGGCAGTTTGAGCCCACTCAGTGAGATCTGCCAATCTTTTCCCATAAAGGTGACAGTCTGGGGATCCCTGTGGGGACGTTCTGCACTGTTACCAGGACTTGGATTCGTCTCGAAGTTGCACACCGGTGCTCAGCCCTGAGAGCAGCGGACCTTCCGCCATGGTTGCCAACACTGATAATGATGCGTGCAGACTGCTGTACTAACGCTAGATATGAAGGACTCCCATACTCCCATACATGAGGGCAGAGCAGCGTCAGTGCAACTCGGGGTTTAAAGGGGCAGAAACAGCTTTCCGTCCTAGCTCCGGGTGACCTCGGGGTGGCGGGCTGCTGGAGGGATGTATCCTTGTGTCTGCTCAGCACCTGACCCTGCACTTTACAGTGGTGTTCAGCAGTATGGTTGTTGAGGGGGTTTTAAAGATACTTTGAAAATGACTGAATTTACACACTAGCCCCCACCACACCAAATGACTAAGAGTCTACTTTCAGTCCTGTTAGGTGCTGTTGACTTGGCACCGACTCATAGCGACCTTATAGCGACCTCATAGCGACCTCATAGTGACCTCATAGCGACCTCATAGTGACCTCATGCACAACAGAATGAAACACCACCTGATCCTGCGCCAACCTCACAATCGTTGCTACGCTTGAGCCCATTGTTACTGTCACTCTGCCAATCCATGTCGTTGGGGGGTCTTCCTCTGTTTTGATGACCCTCCACTTCACCAAGCACTGTAAAATACCGGTAGTATAGCTTCCAAAATCATAGCAACACACAGGCCACCACAATATGACAGACAGACAGACGAGTGGTAACGGGGCATAAGATGTCTATCAAAGTATAAACGGAGATTTTATGAAAAAGTCATTGTAATGCTAAGGACCCTTGGTGATGCTATGGTTTAGCGCTCGACTGCTAAGCAAAGACTGGTAGTTGGAACCCACCTAGAGCTATGTGGATGGGCTGCTATGAAGATGGCAGCAGTGATGTTCTGAGGAGGACATTTCTAGGAAGATGTTGAAGTCTGTTCTGAAATCTAAATTACCCTGAAAGTGCACACAAGATGGGTTTCCTGTTCACCAGCACTCTTCCCATGTGGGTGGTGCCGTGAGAGCCTGCTAGCTGCCCCGTGCTCTCCTCACAGGGGCTCCCGGACACAGTATTCAGGCTGAATCCTACTCCAGCCGTTAGGATCCCTGGCTGGTGGCTTTGGTGACCTGGAGTTGTCTCTTGCTCTCGGATAGCGAATACCCAGATGGTGGCTCTCCAGCCCCCTTTGACCTGGAGATGTGTTCCACTATGGGACGGTGTGATCTTCTGGGAAAACGTGACAAACCCACTGCCATTGACTTCACTGTAACTCACAGCGATCCTCGGTAGTGTTTGCGGAGTCCTGGTGTGGTGCTGGAGGATAAGCACTGGACCGCAAGGTCCGTTTGACCCATAACCGTCAGTGGTTTAAATCCACCAGTTGCTCCTCAGAAACCGACTTGACAGCACTAAACAGTTGCAACATAGTGTTTGAGATAGTTGACTTGAGGGGCAGCTTGTGAGTTTGAGCCACCGAGCTGTGGTTCCCAGCCTAGTGCCTCACAGGGAAGGCAGGAGAGAAGGGTTATTATCCCTTTCAGCCAGGACACTGGACTGATGGTCGTGGGATGTGAAGGGAAGTGCTAGCAAGCATTTCATCTAAAGCTGTCATACATACGAGGGGGGTTCAGAAAGCGCACGGAATGAAAGGGTCTAGAACTTTTCCACAAACTGTTTGATGCCCCCTCATATATCTGTGTGGAGCACTGAAGAATGTAGAAACGTGTTATTTCTCCACAGTCATGTGTGTTGCGTGGGAAGAAATCTAGGACATGTGGATATTTTATATCAAAATAGTAAGTGATGCTCATGTTGGCGCAGTGGGGCTGTGAACAAAAAGGCCGGCGGTTCTAATCCATCAGCTACTCCTCGGGAGACAGATTCTCCACCTCAGAAACCCTAGGGAGCACTCGTCCTGTCTTGGAGGATTGCTGTGAGTCACTGGGTTTGATTTTGGTTTCTCTGGCGATGAAGTAAAGTGAACTTTCTGGAGCAAGTTCCAAGAAACAAAAGTATTGCCAGAAAGAAAACTAAGATCATTGTGAGAAAGCTACGTGGGGGTCTTGGGAGCCTTTCCTGGATTTAGTAACCAACCATGACCCTTGTAGTATTTCACATCTGTACGGAAGACTCCTGAGTCCAGAAAACTGCCCATAGGAACTTTGAGAAAGGTCTGAAAACTGATAGCACTGTCCTCAGAACTCCAAATCTGCGTGGTCCTGTGTGGTTTCCACGGCTGTTGAAAGTTTAAAACTCATGTGAGAGTCCAGTTGTGTGAGATTGGTTTGTATGTGGGAGATAGTATGCAAAAGATGGTGAGGTTATGTGAGCATCTTTAGGATTGGGAGTGTTTTGAACCAGAAGTCTTCTGTAATCTCTATTTCTTCTTTAATAAGACAAATACTGATGGTTGGCCTCATGGATGGATTCATTGTGTATATGGAGTGGCCCTCGGTCCTAGTGAATGGAGACTGCGAGTAAATGACCGGACAGCACACTCACACGAAACATTGGCTGTAGCCGTTGGTCTTTTGAGCACATTTGTTCTCGCGAGTCCTTGTGATCTTAGTTTTGATGTTGAACAAGTGCATAGTTATTAAATAGTGACTAACTTGGAACACTTTCTTTCAGCTTTTTGCCAGAGTTCATCAATGGAGACTTTGACTCTATCAGGCCTGAAGTCAGAGCGTTCTACACCGATAAGGTAAACCCAAACGCCTTCGATGGCAAGGCCTTTTCAAAGAACTGCTTTCCGTGTGCACTTGCTGGGTTTACTGCGGAGCCAGGGGTCGGCAACTTAGTGTTGATTTTACTTATATTTGAATAATAATCCGCATCCAAAATGGAGATTCAGAAAGTGATAAACGAAACACAATCTTAGAAATTCATTCACCATCAAATACGTATTTTACCAGGTTTTTTTCTGTGCATATATATAGTTAATAGTCTACTGCCTATATCCTTGTTTATTATACTTTTTTCACAAAGAATTTTAAATGTCATTGGATAAATACACTGTATGTTACCTAATATTCCTAACTGATTTACATTTCATGTATTTCCTTTTTCCCTTTTTGCATTTATAAGCTACCAAAAACATTATAAATAAATAAATAAAGGCATGGTTATCTGCTCTTAGAATGTTTAGTTTTTCCTGAAATATTTAGTTTTCTTGAAACTATAGTTCTCTGTTCTGACTAAAACTAGAAATTGAGAGACCTCCCGTTTCCTGAGGTAGGTGTACAGCTGTTACCATGGCTGGCTGATCCTCCAGAGGCACGCCGATTAAACGATCTCAGGGTCAGCGCTTCACACGCTCATACCGTGGCGGGCTGATCCTCCCAAGGAGCGCCCTCCAGAAGCGTGCAGTGTAGGCGATCTCAGTGTCAGCGGTTCCCACGCTGTTACCCTCGCGGGCCAATGCTCCAGAGGCACGCAATATAAACGATCTAATGCACGTCAGCGGTTCACACACTGTTACCGTGGCAGGCTGATCCTCCAGAGGCGTGCAGTGTACTTGATCTCAGTGTGCGCTTCAGTGGTTCACACTCCAGGCATCACTGGCATTGGCTTAGAACCACCAAGAACATTAGGGGCTCATTTCCCACACACTTTATTGTGTGTTGTTCAAACTAACTTAACATTCAAGGGTTTTTTTTTTGTTTTTAAAAGGAAGCATTAATGTTTGAAGTCATACAGCTTTCATTTCTGTCTAAGACTCAGGGAGGCTTGAAGCCAATTACAAAAGGGGACAGAGGGAGGCTTTCTTTAAAAGAAAGGACAGCAACAACCGTAAGTGTAATCCAGGTGGCATGGTCAGCTTCCCTGTTCCTGCCCAGTCCTGCCCACCTGAGCCTGCGTCCCTCCTCTTCCACACACCCACCGCACATTCGGCCGGCCCCACCGCACATTACGATGCAGAGGTCCACAGGCATGTGGGTCCATCATGCTTTCCAAAGTGGAAGGAACCTCGGAAGACCAGAACTTGGAACAGAGGGGGCCCACCTGTGACAGCTGGGCACGGCTGGGGGAGAGTGGCTAACACAGAGGTTAGGGAAAACGGACGTTTGGATGAATTCACTTGCGTTTCCTCTCTGCTTTTTTGCTTTTTTAATACTCATATTCGTTAAGCAAGATGTTTGAGTATGATTGAGCTAGATCTCGAAACTGTTAACTTGAACGATTCTGCAGTTGGGTAGGTGTAGCGTATCCATGTTTTTCATGAGCATGACATTTGTAGTTCATTGTCCCGGGAGGACCCTGGCGGCATCTTCTCTATGAGGACTGGTGTAACCATGTGATAATGACAGTAAGGTGTGCCACATTACCCACAATTCACGTTTGCCATTGTCTCTAACTGAAGCTGCTCCTTTCCAAATGGAAACTCTGCTTTCACCTAGGTTTACCCCCATCTGGATTCTAAGTAAAACGGAAACAAGGACTGTAGTGAAGAAAGTTAAATAAAGACGTTAAAAATGCTAAAGGGTTTTGAAAATCATCAAATTACATCGTAGATTTTATGTTGTTGTTGTGAAGTGCTGTGGAGTTGGTTCCGACCCATAGCGACCCTGTATAGCATTTCTGAGGAGCAGCTGGTGCTCTTGAACTGCATGTTGATTCATATAAACAGGTTTCTTTCATTATATTTTATACACATACCTGTATAACTAGAAATGAAAACCAAACCTACTGTGGTGGGGTAGGTTCAGACCTAGCCAACTCCATACGGCAGAGAAGAAGTTCCCCATAAGTTTTCCTAGACTGAAAATCTTTACAGAAACAGACCTCATCTGTCTTCTGTGGGGGGCGGGGGCGGGGTGGATTGGAAACACTGATATAGTGATTTGTTAGCAACCCAGAACTTGACCCATTTAAAGGAGACACCAGGCACCTTTAAGTAACTACAAAACTTTAAATTGATTAGCTATTTCTATAGCTGCATTTAACCTCTTTCAGTATTAAAAAAAAATTGTATCTATGTATAAATTCATAGATAGTCCTGGTGTGGCGTTGCAGGTAGATGCGCTGGACTGCATAGTTGGTTTGGAATGTAAGGCTACTCCTTGGAACTCATACACAGTGTTGCTATGAGTCAGAACAGACTAGACTGCACTTAACAACAACAACATATAATTGTTGATTCCGACTCATAGCGCCCATCTGTAGGGTTTCTGAGGCTGTAAATCTTTAGGAGCACAGAAAGCAGCATCTCTCCCTGACCCACAGAGCAGCTGATATGATAGAGTCAAACTGTTGCCGTTCCGGTTAGCAGGCTAGGTGCAGTGTATATTGATTGTTGTTAAGTGCCCCTGAATCCCTTTATATAGGGTTTCTGAGGAGCGGCTGGTGGGTCTGAACCACAGACCTTGTGGTTAGCAGTCCAGTGCTTACCCTACAGCGCCACACCAGGACTGCCTAAGTATTGAGTAGACCTATTAATAGTTCAGCTATAAATAATCACTCCCCAGCTGCATCCTGCTGTACAGAGGTCCTCAGTTTCCCTTCGGAAGTCGCATTACCAGTGGCTCTGAGCACTGGGAGTCTTCCCGTACACACCTCAGTCCTTCCCGCTGGCATCACTGCTGCCAGCTCAATGCAGGGGGCAGGGGGGACCACCTGTAGGCTTTCTCCTGGTGTTTTGTCTTCTCTCCCTGGGCCAGTCAGCACTCCCTTGATTCTAGGCTAGCATCAGGTTTCTCAGTCTTCTGAATTGTTCCATGGCTCCAGTCCTGAGACATCTGAGAAGTCACTCAAACCTTTGGGGTCATCACTGGTGGGAGGAAGCGGTAGTGGTGGTAGTGTCCCTGCCGTTGAGTCCGTCCCAGCTTCTAGTCACCCTCTGTCGGGTTTCTGAGACAATAAATCTTTTCTGGAGTAGAAAGCCTCATCTTTCTCCTAAGGAGTGGCTGGTGGATTCAAACTGTTGACCTTGCAGTTAGCGGCCCAGTGCAGCACCACTATGCTATCAGGTCTTTTGGCTTTGTTGTTGTTGTTGTTGTTAGGTGCCATCGAGTCAGTACCGACTCATTGCGACGCTATGCCCAATAGAACGAAACACTGCCCGATCCTGGACCAACCTCACTACTGTTGCCACGCTTGAGTCCATTGATGCTGCCACTTAGCCAATCCATCTCGCTGGGGGTTTTCCTCTTTTTCTCTGACCTTCCACCTTACCAAACATGATATCCTTCTCCAGAGACTGGTCCCTCCTGACAATATGTCCATAGTATGAGAGACGAAGTTTGGACATCCTGGCCTCCAAGGAGCACTCTGGCTGCACTTCTTCCAACACAGATCTGTTGGTTCTTTTGGCAGCCCATGGCACTTAAAATATTCTTCTCCAACACCACAGCTCAAAAGCATCAATTCTTCTACGGTCTTCTTTATTCACTGTCCAGCTTTTGTATGCATATGGCTGTAGAAAATAAAAAAAGAGGTGGGGGTGGGGGGCGGTTTAAAGCAGTCTTCCTTATTATTCAGCAGGTTGAGACAGTATCAGTGACCGTCTTTAATACCACCAAATACCAGGGTTTTTCCATCAATGTCAGTATGTGGAATACAAGAAAGTGAGGGGTGTGTGTGTAGAGCCGTGTATGTTTTCAGTCAACACTTGTGCTAGGTTTCTGGGAGTCGTGAAGCGGTGTGGGTTCTTGGGTGATGATAAATTACTTTGAGTGGTTAGTTTACATAGATGGAGGTGTTACGACGCACGTGCATCATATTTCATGGCCCTGCCTTCACAGCGTCGGTGCTAATGACCAGATCACACCGCTCATGTACCAGTGCTCCGGAAACACTAGCGTACCATTTCCATGGAGGGCCACACGTTGTTACACTTTCTGAAATGGTTTCTGTAACAGCTTTGTAAAGACAGTTCTCAGGAACATACTGCTTTCTCAAATATTTCTAATCACTTCATTTCCACAATGAAACCTGGCTATAATTCATAATGAAACTCACATAGAACGTCAGTTTGGGTTTGATAATGATTCGGGTTCCATTCTGTTCAAATTCACAGGCTTCACTGCAGCTAAGTAAAGCAGCGTTGCTGTGGCTGGCCGCAGGAATGGTGTTACTGTCCACACTGAGCTGTGTCCCTTTTCCCATTCTGTCCAGCCATAGCTGACAACTCTTGCAACCACCACTCATCTGTCAGTTTGTCAGGCTGTGGTGGCTTATGTGCTGCTGTGATTTTGGAAGCTATGCCACACGTATTTTAAATGCCAGCAGGGTCACCCATGGTGTACAGGTTTCAGCTGAGCTTCCAGATGAAGATAGACTAGGAAGAAGGAGAGACAGACTACTTGTGAATATTTAGTCACTAAAAACCTTATGAATAGCAGTGGAACACTGTTAGCCCCAGACTACTGAATATTGACACATGATGAGGAGCACCTGAATATTGTCAGATACAATGCCGGCAGATGAGTCTCTCAGGTTGGAAGACACTCAAAATATGAGTAGGGAAGAGCTGCCTTCTCAAAGTAGAGTTGACCGCGATGATGAGAATGGAGTAAAGCCCTTAGTACCTTTATTTATTGATGGGGCACAATTCAAAATGAAGAGAAACAGCTGTAAACATCCACTAATAATCGAAACATGGAATTTACAAAGTGTAATTCTAGGAAAATTGGAAATTGTAAAAAATGAAACAGAACGCATGATATCTTAGTCATTACTGAGCTGAAATGGACGGATATTAAC